GCGGGAGCCCCCCGCCCTCACCCGCCCCGTTCACATCAGCACGCCTGGGTCTTTTTGCGGTTTTTCCCTCATTTCTGCTCATCTATGAGGGGAAGCGTCCCATAACTCATCAATTAATTACCGCCCCGTTAGCGAAACGCTCTCCCTCCACCAGGAAAGGGAGCCACGGGGGGCAGGCGGCCGGTCCCTGCCGCCTCAGGCGGCGGCGGCTTCGGGGTGGGAGCTGTGTGTGGCAGCGTTTTCCAGGGAGAAAGCGAGGGGCAGCGTTCCCCTGCGGTGTCACTAGGGGATGCTCCAGGTTTACTTTTGCAAACAACTGTCTTTGGTGAGCGTGCGGTGGATCTGTACCGAACTGCAGTTCACTTGTTTCCTGAAGGCGCTGAAACGTTGTTCAGTCGCTGTTAATGGTCTCAAAATGGAGTTGTAGCAACACAAGAAACAGGAAAACCAAACCGTTCCAAATCCTAAGGGGCAGAACTTGTGGAAACAAGCATTTTGCAAAGAACTCTTTAAAAAAAAAAAATCAGTGTAGAAGGCCGAGGCCACCTTCAGTATGCCAAGAACCACCAAGGTGAGCAGAAAATGAGACACAAAACCCACCCCCAAAACCCTTACTTGAATAATCATGTTCCACATTGACTGACAGATGCTCAAAGCTTTAGGATACAAGTTTCACAGCAGGGTTTTCAGAAGCACTTCACCCCAGCAGCACCTCTCTGAACACAATTGCTTTTGAAGACCAAATTCAATAGGCTAAAAATTACCTACTTTTTCCTGCAGTAAAAAAAAAATCTCATATTACTCTCTCACAACTCTCAGTAGGATTCTCATCACTCAGCTATTAAAAGCAAACAAAATGCATTCAATCACAAACCTTAAAAAGAGAACTAAACCCAGGACATTAGATCATATCTTCTGAGTAATATATCAATATCTTGAATTATTTAAATCTTAACTGAGGCAAACACATTAATAAAAAAATAATCACATTTAAAGCATTTATTTTGAAAAATAAAATACAAAAGATCATTGAATTGTAATTGTACATGTAAATTATCTTTTTTTTTAAATAAAAGATATTTAACAATTTCCACATGTGAATAAAAACAAACAACTGTTCCACCGAAAATCTTTTAGGACAAGCACAGACCACTCTTTTGAAAGCTTCATACATATAAAACCAAACTGCTACAGGGAAAAAAGAAAAGTCTTTGAAGATGGGAGTTTTGGAATTAAGACAGTATCAATTTTGGAGACAGGCATTGCTTTGCATTTTTTAAAACCTTAAAAAAATAATTGTGCGAGTGTAATACAGTTCTACATTAACATCAGTTTTGTTTGTTTGTTTTTTTAAGACAGGTTTACATGCGCTCACAACAACAAAATTTTGAACAAAAACAGTATGAAAGAAAATGGGGAGAAGACTCTGAAAGAAGCAGGCCACGAGCAGTACACCTCACTGATCTCAGCGGGACAGTCCTTGCAAGATCATTTCCATTGAAAAGGCAGCAGTCTTTTTTCTGAAGAAAAAGAAAAATTAAGTTATGTTTGAGCTTTCAATCTAATATTCTGTTTTTATCCCCGACAAAATTTTGTAATTACAAATAATGCGTAATTAAGTGTAATGACTGTTATGTCAGTAGGTGAAAAGTCACTGTCAAGACTAACCACAGAGGCTAAAAACTGTCCTGTAAGGAATGTGGCTGCCTTTTCCATCATTTATCATTAGAGTTACTTCTTGGAGCGTATTTAGATGTTAAAAAAAAAATATATATATATATGAATTTGCACTTACATTCAAAACACTTGTGAAAGTGGGCTGTATTTACATGGTGAAAGTGTCTCTCTCGTTACAATGTATTAGTGGTAGTTACCACCAGAAGTTAACAGTTCGGTTTCTCAGAAATTGGGCGGGAGCTTTAGATAGAAATATTGTAGTTTTAAATACAGTTTTCAAAGAGGTAAGTGGCAACATGAAGCAGATGTTTCAGTCATTTTAACATTGACTACAGGAAAAGATTATGGTTTCCCTATTGATTTCAGAATTAAGGTCTGCAATTAACCTTTGGAAAACTTTCATATCCATTATTTCTAATTGGTATGATACTTTTGGCTATATTTAGGGCTATAGAGCAAGCTATATTTATGGCCACATACAAGTATCTATGCTGGGTATATTTGTGTGGCATGTTGCTTTTGGCTATATTTAAACTGGATGCATTTTGCTATCTTTTGTTGTCAAGCTAGAACATTTGATAACACAGTTGACAAGTAAAAATCCTGGATTAATACAGTAAATCTCGCACCATTCATTCGTTGACTAGTCTGGAATTTACTGAGTTCCCTGCACAATCTTGCCATTGTTAATTCAACAACTAAAATGCAGTTTATGGAAAATACTGGCTATGGGACTTATTAAAAGCAAATTTACAAATCAGCTCATCTTTAGCAGTTTCGTCTATCTAGAAAGGGCAATTGATTTAAAAACAAAAGACAAAGATGATTAAGAGTCATCTTTGAAGTTTCCCTTTTTTGTTAAAATGGGGACCTGAATCTGTTGTGCAAGTATGCCGTAGCACCGAAAGACACACAGATACTAAAATGAACAAGAATCTCTGCTAAAGAATGCCTGAACAAGTAGTGGTACAGTTTTATGTACTCCTTTCAATTTCAAGCTCTAAAGTAGTGCTGACAATCCAACAGCATAGCAAATACTGCGAATGGTGATGAGCCATGTAGAACTGCATTGTGATTCTTAAAGCACGTAACTATGCTTTTGTAGCTCTCACCACTAGGACTTACCTCAATGTAATTTTTACAGATTCTGAATCAAGATCCATATCTTCATATTTTTCTTACCCAGAATCTTACATGGAGTTACATAAGTTTAAAAAAAATCACCTTAACTAAATCAAGAGCAGCAAACGAGCAGGACTGCATGCTCTTTTATTACCTTCTGTGCAAGAAATATCCATTGTCTCTTCTATTCCATAGGTTCGGTCTGTTAAGTAAATAATTAAAATGAAATTAGCTATTTTACATTAGAGGAAAAAATATCATTATCAGCACCAATGCTTGTACTCAAAACCATCTAGCTGTTTAGTTACATTATGTTAATTTTATCTTTAGTATAATAATAAAGGAGAACACTATCAGCATCAATTTCAATTCCAGCATCAGTTTTTATAGTTTAAGCAATATTCTCTTACTTTTTCACAAAGCTTATTTTTGCTTTTTAGATGATCTTTCTTTACTCTGGAAAAATCTGCTCAGAGTTTGGTAAATACTGTAACCATACCAGGATAACTGTATAAATCCACCTCCTGAAATTTAGGAGAGTCCCATTTTGAAACCTCCCTATCATATGGATTGGAGAGGACATTTACTAGTAATAGTGGACCAAGTTCTTTTGATGTATCACAAGATAACTGCAAAATACAAACAGCATAATTTAACCGATACTGTAGGCAGATCAAGGATCATTTATTTTGCTAGCACACTATCTATCCACAGCATGCTAAATCTTGAAGATAGCTCATCTCCCTGCATTTTCCAGAAATCCTTATCAGCGATATTTAGTCTCCTTCTGTTCTGACACACCCTATGCTTGCAGCCTGATATGCTGCAACTTCACTTGTAAGGTTGTAGATAAGCTTGAAATAACCACAATAATTGCATTTGAAAGCATTAGAAATAACTACAGCACACTTTCTCAATACAATTTGCTGACAACGACTTTTAAGCAGCACACATTTAAATAGTTGTCTTGCCGTTAAGCTGCATAGACATTTTGGCCAGCAGTTGAGAGTGAACAATGCTGTGAGCAACAGCACATTTAGCTGCGTGGTGCCAGGTTCTTAATGATTTTCTATTAGCTGAGCACAACTTGCAAAGCATGAGCACTAACTGTTCAAAGGGTGAGAGCAGGCAAACATCCAGTAAAAGAGCGAAGCCCACATTAGAGATCACACAAAGATTTATCAGAAAGATTTGGTGTCCACAGCAAAAAGTTATATTCTGGAAACATGAAACAGACACTACAGCTATTCGACTTTACTGATCCATGTTCATTTTATCTTGCCACGAGACTTCCTTTCTACTGTCTTCTTTGGCTGGAACAAAAGAAACCAATTTTCCTTTTTAATCAATTCATTTTCGTTTGAATGAACGGAATAAGGCAAAATGCTTTGTTTGCACGTGGTAGATTCTCCTGTGTATTCTTCAATCTCTACATCTAATAAAAGTCATAATCAAAGAGTCCTTTCCTAATATTGGGGAATCCAAAGTCAAGAAAGCTTGTGCCCATTAGTTTTGTTTTTTTCTTTTAAAAGTAAAGCCATTGCAAATTATTTTACTTTTGATAGGCTACTTACACTTACATTCTAAATAAACTTCTGTACTGTATGTATTATTAAGGGTGGGAAATTTGAGTAGAAATATAAAGTAACGCAAGCAGAGATACACAATTCTGGAGGCAGAGTGCCTCTAAAAATGCTTTCTCTCCCAATTCGGCAATGCTATACCCCTGTATATGCAGGAGGAATGGAAAAAAAACCCAAGTATTTTTCTACTTGGCTTTACTTCAACACACCCTGAGACAGCAACAGTGATGAGCCACTTCCTGTTTTTTCTAGCAAAGCACAATGTAGAGAGCACTTTAGATGGCATTTAGACATTTACCATCAATTATACAGCCTACAAAAATCGATATTTTTATGAGCCTAGTTGAGCAGCTCTTACCCAAGAAAACAGAACCAATTGCTACCTCCTACTTATTTCATATAAAATATTTCATTTAAGCAATAAAATACAAACATTTTTGTTATTTCTCTGATAAAGGTGAATTAAATGATTTGCTCCTTGTCTAGACTGTCTGCTCTGATTTTTCATGGCTAGATTAGCAGAGCTTAAATCTGCAAGGCTATGGGAGGGAGAATTAATTTCACTACACATTGGGGAGGAAAAAAAAAAACAAAACCCAAAACAAAACACACAGAGAAGCCCTTCAAGCTACTGAAACAGAGCACACCAACAGGCAGCTCCATGGAACAAGTCCATCTTGAGTGCTCTGTTACCTTCAGGAGACACAGAAGAGCTGCCCAGCAGCAAGGGGTGCCATCTTCCAAACTGAACTCCTGTCTCCGTAAACGGGCTAGTGGTTACAGCCCAAAACCTTTCCATCATGTCTGCATGAGGAAAGGGCACGAGGTTGGAAGCATGCTTCCCACACATTCACATAGCTCGGGGAAGGTATCAAGAGATCCTGCAGTTTAAGAGAGCTCCATGATAAGGATTTTGCTTTTTCAACTGCAATTGCAAAGGTTAGGTCCCTTAGGTAGCTGATGACAATTAATAGCATTTGAAGGGTACCAGATTATGAATTCTCAGTAAAATCTGGAGTTCAATAGCTCACTTTATTAAATCAACACACCATCACCATCCATGGCTGAACTGTTTTTGTTTGATACAAGAGTATCTCTTTTTAAAAATCTCTCATTACTTATCTCTGCTTTCTGTACTATACTTGCTTTAAACCCTTCCATGCAAGGCAACAAAAGATAAAGCTTCTCTACAAATAAACTTTGCAGTTTGGTCTACACAAAAGAGAGTCAAACTTTACTTGAGTTTCACAGCAATATTCAGTCAGCTCAGGTTTACAAGCACCATACTATTAACACTGGAGTTACACATGCACTCAAGAGAGGCTTGGGACTGCAGAGTGCAAGAGCACTGGAGATTCAGTCTCATGGACAAGCTATTCTCTTATAACCTCTAGTCAACTATTCTCTTATGATCAAACAGAAAATCAAATTTATGAAGAAGTGGTTCATAAAGACTGGTTGCATACTGACTTGCCGCTACACCCGCAAAAAGGAAACTAACGCAATACTGTACCTGTGGCACTTCTTTAAGAAAGTCAGGAAGCTGAAATTCACCTTTATAGACCTGGAAAAACAAAAAACAATTTACTACTCAAAGCTAGCATTCACTACTGTTTGAAATACTAAATAGCTTGTTAAGGGGAAAAAAAAAAAAAGAAAAAGGATTCTTCTGGGTTATTAGCATCCAGTAATGCTAAAACAGATCTACCTAAACTGAGCACAACCTATTTGTAAAAGCAAGTTTTATTTATGAGGCTTGGTTGTCCGAAGTAGTTCTACAGCTGTACGCTCAGTCCCAGGCTTGCTCTGTACTCAACACTGACCTTGTTTGCATTAAAATGGCAGAACTCTAACTCATGTTACATTTCAAGCTTGCTCGAATTCTTAATTAAGTCCTGTGTAATCCATTCACTATGCTTTTAGAAAAAGATTTTTAACAGGATGATTAAATACGCTAAGAGTGAGTTGCTACAATATATAAACTTTGGAAAAGTAGGTAACAAATCTGTTGCTTCACATTTACAATCTTCAATAAATTAAGTTCCCTTTGGGCTTAATTACAATTTAGAATTAAAAGAGTCTCCATTTAAAGTCTTCTGAAAGAGCTACCTGTCATGACCTCATGGACTGTGTCAGAACTGATATACCAGCCACGCAACAACGAACATTCAGTTCTCAAACATTTATGTTTTACAGTTTAGAAACTCAAATGTCACATAATACAACATTTTCTGATGCATCATAGTATTTGTCACGTACAAAATATATATCATTCACGCAAACAGAAGTACCACACCTGAAAAACTGATCCCACCTTACTATGCTGTCGAAGGAAAGTTCTGTTAGTTTTCATAGAGTTTATGGAGACAATGCAACTACAATCAAAGTCTGGAAATGCTAACAACTTAGCTTTCAATTCTGTTAAAATGGTCAACACTCAAGGAGTGTCAGCATCTCCTACCCTATTTTACACATATCTATCCCTTTATTCTACATATCTATCTGGTGTAATTTTCAGGTTATAAGAAAGTTAATATATTTGCTTTAATCCTTAAAGATACCATTATAACAGGTACAGATATTTTACTAGCAATTTTCCCCAAGTATGCCATGCCAGACTCGAGTCACTCAGCAAACATACTGCGTGAGACCAGACACTTGAACTCCTTCCCCCACAGGCTGTAACCACACATCTGAAATCCCCAGCTCCTGGTAGGAGAACACAGAATTGGATAAGGCTTAAGGCTTCCTTTATGATTTTCATACCATTTAGTCATTAATTTCCTTTTCATCTACAGAAATGTAAAAAAAAAAAGAATCAGTGGGATAATCCTTTTCTATACTAATAGACACAGAGATTTAATAGCTTCATACACAAGTACAGAAGAGTTCCACGTACTAGTAGGGCTGTCAAAGGTACAGCCAGCAACTCTTATGATTATGAATTTCTACAACAACTGTAGCCTCATTACCAGCCTCAGTTCATGAGTTTGTCATCACCTCAATTTCTAATCTTTTAGAGCATAATATTACTTTTGAAACAACACTGTTTGGAGAAAGAGCAAGCAATAAATATCCTCAAACATACCAACAGCCGCACCAAACAAGTGTTTCCACTATCTGACCAATTAGGAAATAAATGGGCAGCATATTGTCTTCTCTCTAGAGGATACTTCTTAAAAGCTGTTTGTTTCTGAGATTAAACTGGAATACATTGGGGGAGGAGAGTATTCTGTATTTCCCCCCCCCCCCCAAAAAGCATACTTGGAAGGAAGAGTTTTACCATCTACTGAAACAAAAAGACTGAACACCCTAATGTCATGAGTTCTTTCTAGTCTTGTGTAGCTGTAATCATATAAAAATCAAAAGCCACAAACCTACTTAGAAAAATTCTGTAACGCCATAAAATGGAAGTGGGGCTACTCTAAAGCCTCACTCAGAGTTGCACTCCCTGGTTTGCAAATTGCGTCAAAGGAAGAAGATTGAGGAAGTCAAGGGATGCTTATTAACAATATCCATTTTCTCCGCTTTGCTATGAATAGATGACCAGAATATAAAGGCGTACTCATTTTGTCAATATACTGCAGCGGCCTAGGACTGCAGCTGAGTCAGCTCAGAATTTCCTGTCTGTAAAATGCCTCACCCCAAAACAGGCCTGAAGCGTTAAACCATATGACTCATGTGGAGTGGACTTAGGAGCTGACAGTTCTCATAACTCTTTATCACCAGGCTAAACATATCCAAACAACAAGGCCTCACTAAGACCCAACATGAAAGTAGGAATTATTATACACATACATTGCAGAACTCCGTTCCTTCCGATATTGCATGTTTTAGGTAAAATAGAAAGGCTGATTCAAAATGATAGGCACAGCTCATTTATATTCAGCTAGGGGGTACTGTCATTCCCATGGAAACCTTAATGAAAGCCACACTGGTCAAAAATTCAGCGTGTGGCTTACTGGAGCCGAGATATACTATAAATATTTATAAATGAAGGAGAATATTTCATATTTTCAGCTGTTAACTAAGCCATTAAAATGCAGGCTGTGTTCTAGAGAGCAGAAATGGAAGTTACAAATCAACAGTATTATCACATCAAAAAATGCTATAGAACAACCTAGGCAAGGTTCACAAGAAAGACATCTTTTATTAGACTAGTGCTGACATTGGAAGAAACAGACAGGTGGCTTCACCTTTTCTGGCAAATCACTGCAGTAATTTTCCGGGAATTCTTAAAAACAGTTAATAATGATGATGATGGTACATTGTGACCAATTCAGAACCAAAGTGACCAAAACCATGTTTGTCTCTCTGGAGGCCTGCTTCTTTCCTTCTCCTGCAATTACAACTTGGTCTAATTTTTTTATATATTATATTTATATATGTCTGGTCTAAAAATCTTACCATTCTAATGCCCTTTAGGAGCAAATGCTGTTCCTACAATCAGCATCAATAGTGGATAGTCAAGGGTATTCATTCATCAGCAATATTAAGAAAAATAATGACACTAATGTCATAGCCTGGAAAGGTAAGAAAATGTTTCAGGAGCATTTGATATTATAGTCACATTAAATATCACAACTCACACACTACAATATACAAAGGCAAATCTAACCAGTGGCAAGCCAAAGAAGATTAGGTTAAACGCACAAGTGTGCCTAATTTTGGTTTGGAACTGACATTATCTAGAATGCTGGTTTTGTCAAGATTGAGACTGCATAGAAACTGGTTTAAAGTAGTTCCAAAAACATAAGTGGTCCCTTTTGAATCAAAACCCAAGAGTCAACTGCAATCCAGAAATTCTGAAAACAATTACTCCATTTGCAGCCAAGGAAATTAAGAGGTTTCAGATTCAAAATTCTTTTCTGACCAATTTCTAAGTCTAAAACACATTATTCAGAGAGTGGCAGCAGAGAGGCAGAAGCAGGACATTGGAATGATTTCCAGTCTAAGCAAGAATTCAGTAAAATTGAAGAAAAATGGTGTTTACCATTTCTAAGGGAATTATTTTGCAAGTCCAAATGGATTTCCAAAGGGGGGGGGGAAATCTGAAATCTGTGTCAGTTTGTTGTTCATGTTGGCAGTATTCAAGCTGTTTTATTAAAAAAAAACAAACAACAATCTTACAGCCAAACCAAATGCATATTATTCTCAAAAAGAGATCAGAAAACAAGTTTCACATCCAGTTGTCTGAGAAAACCCATATAAATACACAAGAAAAACTTAAGAAGTGCAACCTCAGAAGCGTAACCTGTAATTCATCTTTATAGAATATTAAAGCACTCCTTTTCACCCACTTTCAAGCCTGGTTTAGAAAGAGTCGCATTATATTTAGTCAGTTCCAGCACACAGAGATAACGAGTCCTTTTGTCTAAAAGTTAGCCTGCAAGTAAGTGTACTTGGGCTTGCTGGATTTTTAAAACATCAAAGTTGCAGAGTACAAAGCTACCGATGTTTAATTGTCAAAAAAAAAAAAAGAGGGAACACTGGCAAAACCAGAACAGAGCCCCTTTCTAGAGACAATCCTTTACTGCACAGTACACGGAGGTACCCTCATCTTGCTCCTTCAGACTTTCCTCAACTTTTAAGGCAGCTTACAAGGCTTACACAATTCTTCACCTCTTTGTTGGAACTGCCAAGAAAGGGGACATCCGAGATATAAAAAACCCAGTAGGAACAACACAGAGGCAAGATTTTAGACAGGCCTATGAATGTCTGCCAAAAGACAGCTTGCAACCATACCTAATTTTGTGTTTTGTTTGTTAATAACTCTGTATGCCTTACTAGTCATATATATACATAGTTGGTTTAAAAAAAGAACAGATATTATGACCTCTGGAGAAAAACAATGCAGTTAGGAATCCACATGCTGGAAGAAACACTCGCTCAAGAGGGTATTAAACAAATTTAAAGGGCACTGAGAAAATCTGTGGTGTTGGTGGTCACAAGACAGATGAAATAAAACCCCCAGTTTTTGTTTTAAATATCAGAGAAAACGCCCACAAAGCCAAATGCCTTTATGCTTAACTTAACCAGTGTAAATAGAGATACACTGTCTTGAGCAGCCTGTCATTACAGCATACCTCCACAATTACACATCTTTGACAACACAAGTAATTATTCTCATGCATTAGTATAAATATACTTCGCACCCTTTATCATAGATTGTTTCTGTCTTTAAAACCTCAAATATAAAGTCTTGAAATCGTGACTGTCATGGACGTCTCCTGCTGTTAAGAATCGAGACATTTCCTCACAATTTAAAACAGGCACAAACCAGGAGTTAATAGAACTGTTTTTTCCTCTAGATGTTACTGCAGAAAATACCATCAACAGAACATAAAACAGAGACAGATAACAGCTCTTGGATGTGATTAGAAGAACCCACACATATTTAAACAGTCATGATGAAAACCATAGCTTTTCCTATAGAGTTGTGTATACTTCCGTCTGTCGATCTCTCCAGGGCAAGGAATGTAACTTCATGAAGAAGTTAAAAGAAGTGACTGGAGTATGTATTTCAAGCATACAAATTCATTTAGTGGGAAGTATGTGCCAAAG